TCTATCTTCTAGGCCGCCACCTCTCAGAGCAAAATTTAATTCAGGGAGCAAAAGAACTAATAAAAATGACACAGTATCATACATATGTTTTCATGGATGGAAAAATTTTTGACAGATTCAGGAAATATGAGACATAGAAACAAATCTTAAAGGGACATTTGGGGACAAAGGTAAACGACAGAGTTGACACTGATTTTTGCAAGGCAGCATGGTGAGGAAATGGGGCCTGAGCAAGCGCTATAACATTTGCTTTCTTTTACAATCACATGCCACTTAACAACGTTTTCCTTTAAGGTCATTTCTGCCACTGAAGTCTGAGAACCCAAGAGCACAACAGCAAAACTTACGTATCCATTTTCATCTAAAAGTAAATGACCTTTGAGGAGCCTTCTCACTACATACCCCTTGCCCAGCATGACACGGGAAGTGATGAGAAAGCTCCAACTTCCTGCCCAATCACTTCTGCCAGCAGTAAGCAGGGCCCTTGGGCGACCTCGTTAGAGAAGGAACAACAGAGTGACGGATCCCTCAGCCCGTTGCAGAAGCCTTCGGCTGACCAGAGGCTTCCAGGGCTGGGAAGCTCGACGCCGCTCCCCAGGCAAAGGAGAAGGCTCAAACCGCCGAGCCCCTTCACCCAAAGTTCAAGGAACGTGGAGGCTGGCCACAAGCCCAAAGTAGCGAGCCAGCCCTTCTCATTCCACAGAAAAGAGGCAAGTCAGCTCACTGTCTTAAAAAAACCATGGACTCCTCCTCAAATGGTTCCAAGGAAGCCGAGGAGGAACACGTATCAGTGTGGGTTGCAGCTCCTGCCAACCCAGCAGCAGCCTGGGGGGGCCGTCGGCCCCACTGCACTGGTTCTAGGTAAAGACGTGTGATTACAAACAGATAGTCGCTCATCCTAAAAGTGAGAGCTAAAAAAATAACTTAATAGAGAGTAGGTCTGGACAGATCTCTGTACACTCCTTCTGGCCTCATTTTGTTGTGATCATCCTCTAAATCCTGTGAGAGAAAAGATGTCATAGAACTGCTAGGACGATGGGATGTACTTAACTGCCATCTGCCACTTTCCAAGGGACATCGTCCATGGAAGGCAAATAGCTGTCAGAATTCTAAAGGCACAGACCCCTCTGACCCAGCAAGCCACCTTCAGGAACTAATCCTACATATACATCCATGTGGACCAAGATGCCCTCGCAGCAGTAAAAGGCTGCAAACAATCTAACACGCATGGATCAGGGTGCACCCCCAAAGTTTTGCAACTTTATGGGTGGAGGGCCATAAAGTTGCAAAAAACAAAACAAAAAGACAACCAAACACAAGGAAATTCTTTATTATGTTACAAGAAATGATTTTTAAGAGATTTTGTTGCCTTGGCCGGGTTGCTCAGTTGATTGGAGGGTCATCCCACGCACCAAAAGGTTGTGGTTCGATCCCCAGTCGGGGCGCTACAGGAGGTAATCGATCAATATTTCTCTCAGAGGTAACTGATTGATATTTCTCTCTCACATCAATGTCTCTCTCCCTCCTCTTCTCTCCCCTTCTCTCTTAAAATTAATAAACATATTCTTGGGTTAGGGTTTGAAAAATAAAAAATAAAGATTTTTTTGCAGGAAAAAGCAAGGTACAGAACAATAATATAGCATTTTACCACTTGTGTTTTTAAAGCAGGGACTGAGGGCATGCCTGGGTAGCTTGCTGACATCTCCGGGAAGATGCACAAGAAACTGGCAACACGAATCTGGCTCCAGGGAAAGCAACTGGGTGGCAAGTTGAAATGAGCGGGAAGGGGCCATCCCCTTGTACCCGCTTCCTTTTCCTATCTCTTGGTTTCTGAAGCCCGCGAACACATTGCCTCGTTTTTAAAGCGCTCTTCTGGAAAAAGATGCTTAAAGATCTGATCTTTTAACAAAGAGTGAAAATAGACATTAGCCATTTTTTCTGTGACTTCACTTGGGCAAAGAAAATGTAACAATTCCACGTGAGGTCCCAAGGTCCGGCCTCTGACCTCCACAGGCCTGGGCACCTCTGCGCCATAAGCCAACCAAGGCAAGGAGAACCCAGCATGGACTCTCTGCTCCCCTCTGAGGGAGCTGGAAACCATTATGCCAGCTGTATTCACAAGCCTTTTCTTAAGGTTAAATAGATACATTTTGCTCATTACTTGGTTTCATTTCCTTAGAAAACTGTTTATTAACAGAGCTGGGTTACTTGACAAGTACCAGTTTGTTGAAATCTGTGCAGAAGGCTGTTTCACACTCCAGCGCCAGGAACACAACTGGTGCTCTGTAACGATCTGCGATGAATGCACGGCAGGCTGGCCGGCCAGACATGTGAATGAATCTGAACCATTATTATTTGATGCTCAGACAGCTGTGGTGCCTGTAAAATGCTAATACGTTCATCGTATGGATGTGGCAAGGGTATTCTCCAACTAAACAGAAGTAACACCTCTGGAGTACTTCTCCAGGTTAGAGAAATGTCAGCCCCTGACTCAGGTGCACTTTATGTCAACATTTGGACTTCACTGTCTGCTTTCCTCACACTTACTCCATAATGGACCCCAGTGAGGCCCCAGCTCTGTATCAGGAACAAGCGGAGGTAAAACCAAGTCTCTGTTCTCACAAAGCCTCATCTGATTCCAAGGTGCCCAGGCCAGAGGCACAGGCACAAGCCCCCTGGTGGATGTAGCTCCAGGCGGACTCCACTGCTAATCGCCTCACGCCAGCCTAGCAAGCTGTGCTGGAGCCCACGCTGCCAGCCGCAGCTCAGGCGCGGCCAAACCACGGCATTCACAGGCAGTGACCCCGAGCGCCACACACGCGACACTCTGGGAATGACGGTGGTACACACAGGGTGGCGGCAGGGGGACATGGCTTAATTCACACAGAGACGTTACGCGACAGTTGAATCTCTTAAAAATGCAGGTTTTTCAGAGGAAGCAAAAAATTCATTAAACACAGTCACATGGGAAGTCCTGCCTGTGCCAAACTAAGGAAAGTTGCAGAGGTCACAGCCTGGCTGCCCACACGTGTGAGTGGGCGGCCTTCACACTGAAAAACATCCCCGGCGCGGAGTTACCACCAGCCGCCAGCCACGCCCTCCTGTGTTCCCTGCCTTGGGGTTGCACTCAGGCTGGAAGGCTGACTGCAACTGTCAGATTTCAAAGGACACTTTGACACCTTCTTGCAGCAAATTTACTTCCACTCAACTTTAAAATACCAATGAAAAATACCAGTAAAAAGTTCTGGAGAGATTATCAGTTTTTAAAAGTGAGTTTTCATAAAATTAAGGTATTAATTAGCCCAATCTTAAAATTAATGCTTTTAATTGGGTTGGAAATTTTCAGAGGCATCCAAAAAAGTGCCTATGTGCGTTGATATCTAACGGCTGCTCCCAGCCTAATTTTGTGTTGAATTGTCCCTTTAAATGGTTTCCCAAATATATCCACTATAATTGTATCAAAATATACAGCTGTATAGAAATAAGTCTACTCAGATAAGTCAAAGAGAAACAGGAGCTGCCAGATGAAAAATTTATTAAAAATATGAAAAATTTAAACCAGGCTAGTATTAAATATATCTTATTCCCTCACTACATTGAGAACTTGAGAAATAAACGAGATAACCCAAACTTGAAAGCATAATGGATGAAAAATGAAAAAGTAAATATTCAGTCTTTCTTCTCTGAACAAATGAGCTCACAAGGGATCAGAAAAGTTTTTTTTTAAAGCCCGAGAAAGGAAACAGCCTTAGGAAACCAACTGCTGTCCCCTTTCCTCACTTCCCTGGAAGACAAAACACAGGAGTTATATCATCACAGACTTTTCAGCTAACATATGCGGCATGTGCTCCAACAAGACAGCCTGCCTTGAGCACAGAGAGTCCCTTCTCACGGTGAGCTTACAGGGAGCCACACGAGCTTCCCCTGCTTGATCCAGCTGCCTGGATGAAGAACACATAATTGGAATCCAGGATGCTGCAATTCTTTGAGTACTGACTAAGCTGCAAAACCAGTGAACACCTAGACAAATGAGCCCTGACCTTACCGGTGACTTATGCGTCCAGGAAACAGGATGGGAAAATCACAACCGGCAGACAGAATCGAACTATGAGTGGTAGAAATAACAGGACACACACGTGATACCTCACTGTCACGGGTCGTCATGCTTAAAGCTTTACAAACACGTTTTCATTTAACCCAACAATTCCATGAAGGACTCTTATGAGCTCCCTTTACAAATGAGGAAACTGAGGCATAGAAGGGTTTGGTTGTGCAACCTGCTTGAGGCCTCGCGGGGCAGGAGGTAGCAGGGCACCCAGACCTGGCCCTCCCCAGCGCACGGTGTTGCTGTGTGCGCCAGGCCCCTCCTGGGGGCGGGATGCGGGCGGAGCCGAAGCTCAGAGGCGTTCCTTGCCCGGGACTGCGCCACTGCCAGCGGGGGCCAGGGGCAGGCACAGGGAAGAAAAGCAAAACCAAACCCAACTCGGCCCTGCTCTCCCCTGACACCACTGCAGGACAAAGAGACTTCCATAGATCAGTTTTAAGACTTTTAAGACTAAGTCCTTGACCTATAGTCAGGATAGTAAAATGCTAAGTAGTGACAAAATTTAGTTACCATGCAAAGAATTCCAATTAAAAACTTTTCTCCTTGTTTCTGGCTCAGAGAGTATCACAGGTACTTTTATGCACTATTGGTGAGAATGTAAATTTTGATGCAAACTCTTTTCTGCATAGATTTGTTTTTTTAGTGTATAAATGTACCTGTACATGCATGAATTTTTTCTAGATGGACACCTGTTAGAAACTATTAATAGTTTGCTCTGTGGAGTGGGGCTGGGGGAAAGGAGGGGAAAGGAAACAATTACTTTTCATTTCATATCCTTTCCACATGCTTGAATTTTTTTTCTCAAATAGATCTCAGAGCTTTCAATTTTTTAAATTGCCTTCTAAAAAAAAATTTATGATCTATTTTGTTAACCGCACACCGTGCTATTTTGTACCTTGTTTCCTTCGTGCACCCATCCCAGACTCTTCACTCCAAAGGCAGCCTGGGTGGCCGAGACGTCTAGGCAGGTGACGGGCTGGCCGTAGACATAATGGAGGGTCCTGGCGGAGTCGTCGGCCTTCAGCAGGTATACCAGATCTCCAGCGGCGGCTACTGCCACAGGGTACCTTCCCGTGTTGGGAACTACTTCAAGGTAGTCAACCTGGAAAAGGATAAGAGCTGTTTGTTCCTTATGGTCCCAACCACAATTCACCCTGGCTTGGTCAAAAAGTATCCAGTTCCTGCTACACAGCAATGAGAAGACCAGCAGCCCCAAAGAGACAGACAGGCAAAGGGAGAATTCACAGGAAATGAAACACAGTTCTCAAACAATTGAAAAGATGTTTTTCTTAAGAGAAACACAATACACTTCTAGTAAGAGAAATACAAAGTAAAAATTCACCGAGATGCCATTTTGTATCAGTGAAGATCACACAGTCTGATAAGACGCAGGGCTGGGAGTGAAGGGGACAACCACATGCGTGGGGCCCGCTGTGGTTGGCGGGATGCAGTCTGGTCCGGCTTCTACAGAGGGGAATCTGGCAACAACTTATCACAACGTTGAAGGCACCCACGCTCTGACCCAGCACGTCACTTCCAGGACTTGACTTACACGTACATTTCTGAAAAATGCTGTGTACAAAGTTACCTGCTATAACATTATTTTGTCATCACTAAAAACTGCAAACAGCTTACCGTGTGTTACTAAGGGACTAATTAAATAACTTACAGCCCATCTATGCATTGGGTACCACGTGTGCAGTCACAGGAAAAAGCATGGAGACATTCCTTATGACGTGCTACCCGCGGGACCCTCTCCCAGGTAAATCCGGGGGCGGGGGGGGGGTGGGAAGCAAGGAAGCAAGGCAACAGGATTCACAGGATGCTGACGTGTGTGCAGATGAGCAGAGGACTCGTGTGAGGTACTCGGCTTGTATGCGCAGAGATCTACCCACGGCTGCTTTCACAGAGGGAAGTGAGCTGAGGGATGGGGTGGAAATGTTATTTCTCACTGTAAACTTTATTGAGTCTTTTAAATTCTGAAATATGCGGGTATAATAACTATTTTTAAAATATTTTTTTTACCAGAAACTGAATAAAACTCACTCAGTTCCAAATGAGCAAAACCCACACCTTAACATTTGTGCAAATACCAAAAATGTGTTTTCAAAAAGTTAAAAGTATTGGGCTGGCCAAAAAGTTCATTTGGTTTTTTCCATAAGATGGCGCTAGTAGTGCTAATTGTCGTTCACTTCATTCGAAACTATTTTGTTAAGATTGTATTGTGACAGCTGTCATATCAGCGTGCATTTAAAAAAAACTTACCAAAATTGGTGAATTTTTGTGTAGCTATTCTAATACTGAAAATGGAAGAAAATACACAACACTTTTTGGTGTATTATGCTTTATTATTTCCAGAAAAGTAAAAAGGCAACTGAAATGCAAAACAATAGATTTGTGCAGTATATGGAGAAGGTGCCGTGACTGATCAAATGTGTCAAAAGTGATTTGCGAAGTTTTGTGCTGGATTCTTGCTGGATGATGCTCCACAGTTGGGTAGACCAGTTGAAGTTGATAATGATCAAATCGAGACATTAATTGAGAACGATCAACATTATACCATGCAGGAGATAGCCAACATACTCAGGATATCCAAATCAATACAGATATTGGTGAAAATGAAAAATGAGTCTTTTATTTTACGGAACTAAATAGGCCTTTTGGCCAAGTCAATATCTGAGTTATCTGCTCTCTCCTGGTTTCAGTGTCACTGGGAGTAAGAAGGCGGCCACCACCGCAGCAACATTGCTGCGGCCTCCTCTAATCTGCATGTGCACGAGGGGGTCCTTTTAAGAACAGTTTTCCCAGATCCCTAAAGGGCACCTTTCCCCGAGTGCAGTTTGCTGCAGGTTTTCACCTGCTTAAGCAAGTTCTGCGAATACAAAAGCAGAAGGTGGGCCATGCTGTGTAATTATGAAAATCCGTGGTGTAAAGGACAGCACTGCCCTGATAATAAGCCAAATGAGTTCCAAAGCTGAATCCTGAGGACTGTCTCCAGGAGCCGGAGGCAGAGAGTCAACATCTGGGTGACGCTGCTAATCCTCGGGCCCAGCAGCGTGAGTGGCAGCCCCCCACCCGGAGCCGAGAGCCCATCACAAAGGACGGAGGCTCTGAGGGCAGGCTGCGAACGTGGGAGCGCAGCCACCGTGATTCAGGGCGCCTCTGGGAAGGGGGGCCGGCCCCGCGCTGCAGACCCGGTGCCCTTCCAGGGACCACGCGCTGTGCGCCAGGCCCTCATCCCGGGCGAGAGGCAACATGACAGGTGGTCTAGCCCGTGCCTCCAGCTCGCTTCCTCTCCCTGTTCTAAAAATCATTTCTTATTTTTCTGAAGCTGACATCCTCAGTGGAGCCATTTAATTTCATCTTAATGTGGGCTTCTGGAAAGACCAGGACGCTCGGATTGACAGCGGCCGCGCCATTTGCTGGGAGCTGTAAAACTGCTCCGGGAGCCCCAGGCTGGGCCAGGGTGCCGCCTCACTGCCAAAGCAGGATTTACATCTCACAGGGGGACCCACATCCTAAGTAACTGTCTGAGTTCACGTAATTAGTGCTGGTCTACAGTGTTCGTAGGCAGAGACCAGATAATAAGCACAATGCTAGTGCTGGAAACAAACAAATATGGAACTTTCACGTTTTTCCAATAAAACCCAAGACAGGATAACAGCCTTAGGCAGGTTTGGGGAACACTAAACCCAGACGGCAGAGCTCTGATCATTAAAGGGACAGGAGCTTACAAGGAGGAGCGGGAACACCTTGGCTTTTTAGATGTACAGGTCGAGCAAGATTTCCACCACGAAGAAAGGAAGAGGAATAGGTTCCAGGTCAGGCCAGCAGTTTATTGCTCCATGTTGGCTCTTCTGTTCACTCTCCTACTAGTGCCAAAATCAAGCTTATTTAAATTAAATCCATATTCAGCATAGATAGATTTAAGCTCTTCCTTCTTACCACTAAATCACCCCTCTACCATCCAAATGTAGAGGCTCACATACAAGTGAACTCAAAAGCGAGCTCTACGTAAAGAGCTCCTGCCGGCTCGGGCGGCTGCACAAGCGGCCTCCTGGAAGGCGGCTACACAAATCACACCGACTGACACCTATTTCCACTCAAGAGCTACCCTGAGTTCCAGGTGACAAAGACTTGCGATGAAGAAAGCCGAGGATGGAAACCTTCTTTGCCGTAAGGTCTGGGACGAGAGCATTGAACTCATCGCCCTCGTGTGTCAGCCCGGAGCAGACCTGAGGGTGTCCAGGGGTGGCCACCCTGTTACTGTGAAAGGGGAGGAGGGGCACAGCGGTGAGACACTGCAGCCCCAAAGTTCGCCCTGGGGTCAGCATCACAGCGTCTAAGCCCTGAGAGCGAGGCAGGTCCGTTCCTCGCTCTAAGTTTCTGCTGGCTTCTTAGGAAACGGGAAATCACAGCACCTACTGCTCAGGTTACAAGGAGTACAATGAGACCTGCGGACGCAGGCCCACGGGGAGCCCTGAGGGAGTGGGGGTTGCCAACGCTGCTGCTATTGGTTTATATTAGATGCAGAGGTTCTAAGAATGAAAAATAAAATGACCAGACTGAAAGCTCACCAGTTTCTGAACTTCAAATTCTGCAGCTATTTGCCAATATCCCTCCTCATTGGGCCGCAACATGACAACATCAAAAGCAGAGGCGGTGGCGACCGTCGCGTCTCCGGGGCTGAGGGCCAGCGCCTGCACTCTCGCGTCATGCTCGAAGCGGTGAATGGGGTACTTCCCAGTCCTTAGGTCCCAAATGTTGACAAATCCTATGTAGAAAAAAACAACGCAGGTAACAATTTTACATCTGCTTCATATGCACAATTAGAAAATAAAAATTATTTAATGTAAAGTAAATGAAAAGATAAATGATAAAATGGTAAAAAAAAAAGTTTGCATCACATATGACAAAGGGCCAATTTCTATGATAAATAAAAGGCTTCTAAGATTCAACAACAAAAAAAAAGGCAATTGAAAAGTGAGCAAAGGTCATAAGTATGCTGTTCATAGAAAAAGAAACATAAGAAATAAACATAAAATATGAAAATTCACTCACAATTAGAAAAATATAAACTGTAATATAATTTTTATCAATCAAATTGACAGATATAAAAATTTCAAAAAAAATGTTGTTGAGAATACAGGTTAACAGATTCTACCTTAAACTGTTGGTAGGAACGTAAATTAATTCGCCCACTTTGGAGGCAACTGGATAAGATGTACCAAATGACAACTGTATATAGCAGTGACTTTCAACCATTTGCAGCTCATGGCACACATAAACTAATTACTAAAATTCTGCAGCACACCAAAAAATACACTATTTTTTTTCCAATTTTACAAAAAAAAAAAAAAAAAAGGTATAAGGTTGATTCATTCACACCAGACAGCTACTGTTGTGTTGGCGTTGTCATTTTTTTATGTGACAGTATAAGGGAAAAGAGGTCAGTGCCCCTAACTAAATGGTCAGGTGCTGCACATTTTAAAAATTCTTGCAGCACACGAGGTGAAAATTGCTGGTATACAGGATAGTCACCATAATGTTTCTAATTGTGTCAAAAGATTGGAACTTATCTAAATGTCCATCCATACAGAGCTACTTAAATAATGCTCCCTTCACAGTTTGGAATTTAAATAAAATGAGCAATTAAAAAAGAGTGACTCAGCCTTCTGTAAGCTACATGAAATGACCCAAAAAATATACTGTTAAATGAAAAAAGTAAAGAATAAAATAGTGGTATCGTATGCTATATTACTTTTATGTATTAAAAAAATCTACACACACACACACACACACACACACACACACACACACGGAATGCCCTGGATGGACACACAAGAAACTGTTCATAGCAACTGGCCTCTAAGGAAGGAAACCAGGGGGAAAGGGAAAAGAGTGGGAGGGAAATTTCCTCTCCTCTACATCTGAAATGTTTTCTGAAACTATCTTTGCCCAAAAGATAAATTTTAAAAATGTCTTTATGAGAGACACCTAAGAAGAATGGGAGCACATATCTTAATTGCTGAGTGCTAATAACACAGGAAGTTCTTAGCTCATTCTTCCATTTGTCCCCTCATCCGTGCAACAAATAATCACTGCGCACCTGTTCTAGGCCTGTTCTAGATGCCAGCAATGACTGGAAGCAGCCATTTGACACAATTAGAAACATTATGGTGACTATCCTGTATACCAGCAATTTTCACCTCGTGTGCTGCAAGAATTTTTAAAATGTGCAGCACCTGACCATTTTAAAAATAAAGGTATTCTACATCCTTTCTCACCTCCACGTCTCCTAGCCACAGCTGGCCGTGGTGCTTTATGGTGTGTAGTTGTAAAAACCGTGAGCTTGACTTGGCCACACCTGTTAAAACTCTGACTTTCCCCTCCCCGCTTCTCCCCAGTACCTTGAATGCCGCCACCCCAATGAGTCCCTCTTACACGCACTGGCCATGTCTCTGCCCTTCTTAAACCATGTATGGCAGTGAACTCCAAGTGTGGCCCTGGGACCACCAGCATCACCTGGGGGCTTGTTGGAAAGGCAAATTCTGAACTGGAGCCCAAGCTCAAGTTTGAGAACCAGCAGTCTACAGGAACTGACACTTTCCTACCAGATAGACACACTTTTCTGTATTTGGAATGCCATTTATTCTTTTTTCTCACCAAATAATTTCTTTTTTATCATTCCTATTCACTAAGCTACTTCTTTTCCTTCAAAAGTTTACCCAAGAAAATAATTACTTTCTGTACATGCTGGATAATGTTCTGTTCCAATTCCAACTGCTTTTATTTTTTCAAAATTGACTGAGAAATAATTCATGGACATAACACAGTCAGCAGCTCTTTGAGTTCAAATCCAGCTCCACCGCTTGACAGCCAAAGGCCTTAGGGGAGGTACTTAGGGCAGTGAGCCTGTCTCCCCATCTGTAAAACTGAAGACGACATGACCTACAACACAGGGCTGTTGCACGGATTAAAGGAGATAAACCATATAAAATGCTGGAGACAGACCAATCATTTATCTTTATGTATCTACAGCTTCTGCTGTGTTATAAAGCATATTTAGTCTATTAATAAAACTAATTTCCTCTATTGCTTTGCCATAAATCCAGTCTTATTACCTATAACTTCCTATTATCTAAAAGAGACAAAGCTTTTCATGTTTCTTTTCTTTGTGATCCATTTTCCCATCTGGTTTTTTTTTCTTGCTTTGTACTTTGTCTTTAAATAATAAATACTTTGTACTTACGATCCTACTACAACGTACCCTGGAGCACCAAATAAACATAGAAGAAAATAATACATTCGGGCTGCTTTGCAAGACTTTCAGACTGTCAGAAGACAGGCTTACATCAGTGATCACAAACCAAAGCAGAGCTTTCAAGTTAAATGTTCCCTCATATGTAAAACCGAGTACTCAGTATCTCAAGTACAAGAATTATGATAAACTTGGGGGAAAGCAGATTGCAAAAGCCTCTATAACACATTTCCCGGCAAATATTTTGGCAAATTCTTTCCATTCTGACTCGGAAGAAACAGATAAGCAGCAGAGAATGCCAATGGCTCTACAGGAGCCAGGCGCACCGCCTCCTCCAAACATTTTCGCATGGCACTTGCTGGAGGCATCCCAACCAGCAGTACAGAGAGGCAAGGTGCTTCTTGCGCAGGCCGCTCCGAAGTCCAGGCACTTTCATCGGTCTGCTCCAGCCATTTCCAACCGGTGTGGCCTGGGAATCCTTAAAATGTGCACAATCTGACGAGTTAGGGGCACTGACCTTCTTTTCCCTTAGACTGTCAAAAAAATGACAACAGTCAGCACAAAAGCCATCTGGTGTGAATGCCCTGTCTTGAACCGTAAATATATAGGTCATATAGTAGATGTGCACCTTATTAGTCACGTTGCATAATAAGGTTGTGTTTGACTGGTTAATTCTTGGTACCAGAATTCCTTATATACAAGTATAGGCACCTGGTTATTTTAAAAGTCAATTTGGAACAAAAACAGTAGATAATTACTATTATTATTTTTTGTTTGTAAATCAATCACAACTATACCTATTATTTTGTCAGATCGGCAAAAAATACATATTTTTTGGTGTGTGGCAGAATTTTGGTAATTAGTCTATGTGTGCCATGAGATGAAGAAGCTTGAAAAATTGCTGGTCTACCATCTTATCATCATTTTACAAAAGAGAAGAGACAGAAGCTCTGAGTGGCCGAACATCTGTCCAAAGCCACTTGGTACGCGATGAGGCTGGGCTGGAGTTTAGCTAGAGAAGTGCAGGATGAGCAGCTGCATCTACAAGTGCATAAAATAACTATGAGATCGATGAGTAACTGACGTAAACTCGCCCTGTGTTCTGCCAAGTGTGGAAGTTATTCAACCACAGCTCACTCTAAGCACACATGGAGTTTATCTACAAACACATTTTTCATTATTAATCAAGTATCGGTTTTGTTGGCATCATTTTTTCCAGCAGAACTGTATGCAATAAAATACCCTTCACTGCGAGGCTGAGTTTCACAGAGCTCTCCTAAGAAGGGTCTTTTTGGAAAATGCTTTCTAAGGCTCCATCAGTCTAATTCTCTTCTGAATGCTTGCTGTGCTGTCATCTTTGTTAGTTTCTCTATTTCAACTGTGAAGTGTATAACCCGGCCAGGCCCTCGCTTGTCAATGCACTATCGTCCTTTGCACAGTCCTCCAGGGTCACCTTCTGTTGCATAAGCATTTAGGAGTGTTATGTCCTCTCGATGAATTGCCCCTTTATTGTATAAAACATCCTTCTTTACTGCTAGTTACACTCTTTGCTCTGAAATCTACTTTGTCTGACATCGATACAGCCACTCCGGCATTCTTTTGATTAGTGTTAGCATGGTATGTACTTTTTCATCCTTTTACTTTGCCATGTCTTTATATTTAAAGATATTTAAAGTGAGTTTCCTGTAGATGGCATATAGTTGGTTTTGCTTTTTATTGGGGTGTTTGGACTACACTTTAATGTAATTATTGGTAAGAATGGGTTTAATCTACCATTTTTCTCTTTGTTTTCTGTTTGTCCCATGTTTTTTTTGCCCCCTTCCCCCCCTTCTTGTGTTTTTAATTTCTTGGTAGCTTATTAGCCAAACCCTTGGGCGTGGCATTCCAGCGGCTGCTTTAGGATTTTCCCAGGCGTGTGTGGCTCACTGCAGGCCGCCTCCGGTGATGTCCTGCGACTGCCCACAGGGTGTAAGGGCGCCCGGTAGGCACTTCCATTTCCTCCCTCCTGGGCTCTGTGTTGTTGTTGTCATGCTTTTCACTTCTCCATGTTATAAACCCCACATACTTCATCATTATTTTTATATAAGCAGGCAATTATCTTGTAAAAAAACCTAAATTGGGGGAAAAGTCATTTATTGTTACCCGTCTAATTACCACCTCTAGTGCTCCTGCAATATCACTTTTACTAAACCTTGCAGCTTTTGTAAGATTTGCAATTTCACTTTGCATCTGTACTGTTGGATATCTGACCCAAAAACATATGGGCAAGGTGGGGAGGCACACCACACAGCAGCCAACAGGGAGAAATGTTGGAGTGAAAGCTAATTTTATAACTATATAACTAACAAATCAGCCAATTATAGCATGGCTGCTTTTACAACCTCAAAATTGCAGGGACTCAGAATAGTACATACTTGAGTTATAAAAATGTTTCATAATATTGTAGCAGATTATCATCCACATTAACCAATATTTAGCTGAAAATAAATCAATGCAACAGCACATTCAACAAG